CATGCTGATACTTGTATGATCAGTCACAAGTCTCTCAGGCAACAACCAAACGAAAGAATGTGCAAGTATGAGTCAGGTTACCACTAAACCTCGCATTGTTAACATCTCAGGAAATTGTGCCATGAATATTCTCATGTTTGTTTGCTTTTGTTGATGCTTAGTATTATTAATTACATACAGTAAGTCACCATGAGTCCTAAGAACGTTAGTGCTAGAATGAAAGTAAAAAGAAAAGTTGTAAGAACAACAATAGAACTTTAAAAAGAAATAATTACAAAGTATGATAGAGGTGTTCACTTGTCTGATTTGTACATTTCATTTCCTTTTTGTTAAATTTTCACTTACATTTCATTTGGTTTTTCAAGTGTTTATAGATTAAACAGTACATTATATATGTACTGTATATAAGAAAGGTTAAAGCAGGAAATCATTTGGGGGTCTGGAATGGATTAATTCAATTTTCACTGTTTCTAATGGGAAAAATAATTAGGTTTTCAAACAAATCTCTCTTCAAATAGCCTTCCAGAATAAATTAACTTCAAGAACCGAGGTTCCACTGATTAAGAAAAAAAATTAAAAGGTAGGGGGAACTCAGGGATAAAAGAAATGCCAGCTAATTTAAATGAATTTTATTTGGCTCTTGATTCAAACAAACTAAAAATATTTATAATTAAGCAAATTTGAAAACTAACTACATTGGCGGTGTTAAGCAATTATTAATGTTTCCAGTATGATAATGATATTGTGATTGAAATACATATCAGTTCATAAAATTATATGCCTAGAATTTGTTTCAATATAATCCCAGGTTGGTTAGAATGGTAGTGGGGGGCTTTAGAGGAAGCAAGGCTGGTGATTGGCATTGTGTTGATAATTGTTGAAGCCAGGTAGTAGGTACATAGGGCTTCATTTTCTTACTCTCTCTACTTTTGTGTGTGTTTGAAAATACCTACAATAAAATGTTCAAAAACAATGAACTTGAATATGAGAAATTTTAAGATTACTTTAAATGAAAAAGAGCATGATATATATGAATAAATTTCAGGTATGATTTTTGAAATACAAAGGGGAAAATATATACAAAAATGTTAGCAGTGGCTGCTTTTAGGTAGTGAGATTATGCATGACTCTTTTTTTTAAATATGTTTGTATTGATTTTAGAGAGAGGGGAAGGAAGAGGGATAGACAGATAGAAACATCGATGAGAGAGCACCATCAATCGGCTGCCTCCTGCACAGCCCCCACTGGGGATCAAGCCAATAACCCTGGGGATCATGCATGCACCCTGACCGGGAATCCAACCAGTGACCTCTTGGTTCATGGGTCGATGCTTAACCACTGAGCCATGCTAGCCGGGCATGCATGACTTTTCATAATAAAGTTTTATAGTATGCTTATAAACTTATATGCTTGCCACTTACTTTACAATGAGCACTTTTAAATTTTATTCATTTTAGTGAATGGTTCCAAATTCAAATGTATATACAGTGAAACTACTCTTCATTTTTCAGTCATCCAGTTACTCCCAGAAGTTACCAGTGTTATCCATTTCTTGTATATTCATTTGGAAGATGTATATATATATTCTTTTAAACATGCAAGTTGTAATGCACTATACACTGTTTTGTTGTTTCCATTTAACAATACATCAGTGTTTCTTCATTCACAGCTTCTTAGCTAGTCCCGTTGGTTGGACATACAGGTTTACTGCTTCAGACATTACTGAATTGATTAACCTTGCATGAATGTCAATTTACACACATGTAAGTTTATTTATAGGAAGAATTACTAGATGTGGAATTGCTGGGTCCAATTACATATATATCTGTGACTTTGATAACAGTTTTCAGATTGCTGTCCATATAGAGTAAAAACTGATAGGTTTTATTTGCATTGCACTTGGTGTAAATGTGATTGAGGATCTTTCCAGTTTTTTAAGAGCTATTTTCACTTTCTCTGTTCATAGCCTTTTTCTCTTTCCAACTCAGTTATTGAGTAATGTTCTTAACAATTTGTAGGAGCTCATTATGCATTTTGGAAATTAGCCTTTTGTCTGTAATATAAATTACAAATATTTTCCACCAATTTATTTGTCTTTTTAAAAATATTTTAATATATCTTAATTGTTGAAAATATTACAAATGCCCCTCTTTTTTCCCCTCACTGATCCCTTCCAACCAGCACCCACACACACACACGCATCAGGCCTTCACCACACTATTTGTGTCCATCGATTATGCATATATGCATATAAATTCTTAGGTTAATCTCTCCCCACCCACCCCTGCCTTCCCTCTGAGATTCATCAGTCTGTTCCATGCTTTTATGTCTCTGAATCTGTTTTGTTCATTAGACTCCACATATGAGTGAGATCATGTGATACTTGTCTTTCTTTGACTGGCTTATTACACTTAGCATAATACTCTTCAAGTCCCACCTTGATATCTCATAGGGTAAGGAATCTTTCTTTTTTACAGCTGCATGGTATTCCATGGTGTAAATGTCTGAGAAGATGTTTCATATGATTTCAATCTTCTTGAACTGGTAGAGACTTGTTTTGTGTCCTAACATGTGGGTCTGTCTTTGATAATGTCCCACGTGCACTTGAGGAGAATGTATGTTCTGCAGCTTTGGCGTGAAATGTTCTGTAACTGTCAATTAAATTCATCTGATCTAGTGTGTCATCTAGAGTCACTATTTCCTTGTTCATTTTTTTGTCTGGAAAATAGAACCAAAAAGAAAAAACAATTAAAAAACAGGAGGACAGTTTAAGGGAGCTGTGGGACAACATGAAATGTAACAATATTCTCATCATAGGAGTGTCAGAAGATGTAGAAAGTAAGCAAGGGTTAGAGAACCTGTTTGAAGAAATAATGGCAGAAAACTTCCCTAACCTGGTGAAGGAAAAAGCCACACAAGTTCAGAAAGCACAGAGAGTCCCAAGCAAGAAGAACCCAAAGAGGCCTATGCTCAGACACATCTTAATTAAAATGTCAAAATTTCAAGACAAAGAATCTTAAAGGCAGCAAGAAAAAGCAGTTTCCTACAAAGGAGCTCCCATAAGGCTGTCAGCTGATTTCTCATCAGAAACTCTACAGGCCAGAAGGAAATGGCATGAAGTATTCAAGGTAATGAAAAGCAAGGACCTGAAACCAAGACTACTCTATCCAGGAAGGCTATTATTCAAAATAAATGGTGAAATAAAGAGCTTCCTGGACAAAAAAAAAAGCTAAAGGAGTTTATCACCACCAAGCCAGCATTGTAAGAAATGTTAAAGGGACTGCTGTAATAAGACTTTGTAATAGAGAGAAAGAGAAACATAGGCATAAAGAAATAAAATGGCAACAGGTAAGTACAGATCAGTAATACCTTAAATATAAATGGATTAAATGCTCTAATCAAAAGACATAGGGTACCTAAATGGATAAGAAAACATAACCCAAACATATGCTGTTTACAAGAGACTCACCTCAGAACAAAAGACTCACACAAGCTGGGGGGGGGGGAAACAAAACACGTCTAGAGAACTTTAAGGGAAAGATTGACAGCAATTTATTTTTCTTTTAACGTTTAATATAGTTGGATTTTGTGGTTCTACCACACAACATTTTTTTTTTTTTAATTTATTGTCAAATTGATCTATTCTGGGTTTTCTGTGCTTTTGCCTTCCTTGAAATTTAAGCATTTATTTCTATTTTACACTTAAATATTTGATGTGTCTGGAATATATCCTAGTCAGTGTTAGGCTCAGGTCCACTTTAATTTGGTTTCCAAATTGCTACTAAGATGCCTCACAGCATCTTTTTTCCCTGATTTAAAGTGTCATCTTTATCATATTCTAAGTTAAGTACCCATGTGTTTTTGCATATGTATGTTACTGGCCTCTCCATATGTATGTTACTGGCCTCTCCATTATTGTATCTTTATATTTTTAAATCCTCTGCAGATAGTCCTTCCTCACTCTTAGAATTTTTTTAACTCTTCTTGTTTCTTTATTTTTCAATATTAACTTTCATATCAGCTTGTCTAGTTTAAAGAAAAATTATTTTGGTATTTCTATTGTTATGACTTTACAGTTAAAGATTAACAGGTAACTTTGACTTTTTAGTGCTGTGGTCACATCCTCTCATCTGTGATCATGGTAATCCCTTCTATGTGTTGGGTTCATTTGTTTCCCTTGGTAGCATTTACATGTTTCCTTTATTTAGGTCTTGCTACATTTCTTTGTAAAATTTATTTCTAGATTTTTCTTTATTGATGTTATAAATGTCATTTCTTCCATTGTACTTTTGACTGTCTGTATATGAAGGCTAAAATATTGTGTGTGTGTGTGTGTATATATATTCAATTTATACCCAGTCATTGTTTTAAAAATTTTGGTTTTTAAACCTGTTTTTATTTATTTCAGAGAGAGGAAGGAGGGGAAGGGATAGAAACATCAGTGATGAGAGAGAATCATTGATCTGCTGCCTCGTGCATGCCCCCTCCTGGGGATCAAGCCTAAAACCTGGGCATGTATGGTGACCAGGAATCAAACCATGACCTGGTTCATGGGTCGACGCCCAACCACTATACCACACCCTCTGGGTACCTCTCATTGTTTTAAATTCACTTATTTCTTCTAATAGTTTTTCAGTTGTTATTCTTGGATTTTTCAGAATGTAGTGATTTTATATAAAATGATACCATCTGTAGATAACTCTAATACTACTGATTTTTCTTTACAGTTACATTAACATAGTATTTTTAATCAGAAAAAAATTTAAATTATGAATTTTGAAGTAATACATGCCCCTTTAGCCTTGAATAGTATCCTCTTAGTAAGTACAATTAGGCTTCTTGAAGCTGTACGTATTCTGAACTCCTCAATAAGCCTTTAAAGATATTTAATGTCACTTTCTCAAAAAGTTTATAAAAAATGAAATACTCACTTTGAAAATAAAATATTTTTATTAATGATATTTAAATATTGAAACATTATTTAATTGCTTTTTCTTCAGGATCAAATGGCTATTGCATGCGGATCTCGAGCTCACTTGCAAAAAGAATCAATTGCTCAGGTGAGGCTTTCATTAGCTGAATAGATTAGTAGTTCTTTCCCTTTTTACACATACAGTAGCACAAAATAAGCTTTTATACTTAATCTCATAAAAATTAAGTTCCTCTGAAAAGAAAAGAAAATTTATATTTTGGAAAGTTTATGAAGGACTGACACTTTTAGGAATGACTTTTCTTTTAATGAGTACAAGAAGAATGTAGACTTCACTTTGACTTGGAATATAAGCAGCTTTTTTTGATTTTTTTTTTTTTTAAGTCACAAAGAAAACATCCCCATTCAGCTTTTCCAAATAATGCACTTTGAACCTAACAGCTTTTAGTTTTTCCATATTGGCATATTTAAGTACTATATTTTGAGTTTCATTCAAAGTTTAAATTTTTTTTTAACTTTATTCTTAGAGAAACACTATATCTTAAAATTTGACAAATTGTAACTGCCCCTTTTAGGATATTAAAAAGAAAATTGAAGACAAAATATTCTTCATTTTGTACTTTGTAGAGTAGGCTAGAAAAGCTAGAATGGCTTGAAAGATAAGTAATATTAAGGAATTATCGTATGCAATGTTTTTGGTGGTTCTTAATTTTTTTTTAATATTTCATTTACCGTTAACATACAATATTATTAGTTTCGTGTGTACAACTTAGTGATTATGCAGTTTTTTAATTTTTTTCACTTAAAAAATATAGGCCTAGTATATCAAGTCCAGTAAGTGTCCATTATATTCTTTTTTTTTTTTTAAATATATCTTTATTGATTTCAGAGAGAGGTAAGGAGAGGGGGAGAGAGATAGAAACATCAGTGATGAGAGAGTCATTGATCGGCTGCCTCCTGCACACCCCTGACTGGGGATCGAGCCCGCAACCCGGGCATGTGCCCTGACTGGGAATCGAACCCCGATCGCCTGGATCCTAGGTCAACGCTCAACCGCTGAGCCACACCCAGCTGGGCTCCATTATATTCTTAATGGTTCATTGAATAGAGTAGTCGAGTGGATTAAAAATCAAATTGTATTTTTTAGTTCAAGGTCAAAATTATCTGCAGAGTTTCTTTTTTAAATGCATACTTCTAGGCCATTCGCAGACACTAAATCAGACTCTAGCCATAGGGCTAGAAGTCTGCATTTTTTAAAATTTCCAAGGTTATTCTTATGCATACCAGAGTTTGATAACTGCCAGAATAAAGGTATCAACCTTTCCCTCAATGATTCTGAAATAAGATACTAAGAAATTCTAATTTTTTTTTTCCAAGAAAAACTGATGGCAAAATATAATATAATATAAAAATATCAATGCAAACTAAAACATTTAATGAAAATAGGCTAATATTAATTTAGTGGTTTTGTGAATAAATATTTTCCTTTAAAAAATATATCAATGTAGGAATAAAAAGACAGTCTACTTGGTAAAGGATAGAGATAGATTGGAGAAATAGGAAACAATGATTTGGAAGCTATTGAAGTAATCAAGGCAAGAGATAGTTGAGGCCTGTATTTATCATTGTTGGCAATATAAAGGAACTGTGTTTTTGTTTTGTTTTTAATGCTGTAAATTCTTTTTTACTTAGAACTCCCACTAGTTGAAAATTCTTTGATTTTTTTTTTTTGATTTCTTTTTTTTTAGAATAGTATTTAAATGAGACTATGCTGTGGTCTAAATCTTATTTTACCCAATACTGGTTTTAGCCAGATATCAAGGGCTCTATCTCAGTGTCTATGGACTTATAATTTATCTTGTCATCCATCCACCCCTCTATCTCTAAAATTGATTGGCCTGGCCAGGTAGCTCAGTTGATTAGAACATTATCCTAATACAAGGTTCAATCTCTTGTCAGGGCACATACAAGAAGCAACCAGTGAATGCATGGGTAGAACAACAAATCGATGTTTCTCTCTCTCCGCCTCTCTCTCACTTAAAATAAATAAATAAATAATTTTAAAACTAAATGATTGATTTAGTGCTTTTGGACCCCACAGAATTGGCTTGTACTTTATAGAAAGGATAAATTGATCCATTGACTAGAGATCTGCTATTGTCTACTGCAAATACTATGTATAACTGCTGCAGCTCAGAAGGCTTGTAGTTCAAGTCCAGATGATCTCATAGAACTGCACCTTTTTTTTTCATTTTTGAATCATTTTTATTTTTTAATTACAGTTGACATACATTATTTTAGGTGTACACCCCAGTGATTAGACATTAAACTTACTAATTGATCATCCCAATAAATCTTGCACCCATCTGACAACATGCATAGTTAATAGAATATTATCGACTATATTCCCCTATGCTGTACTTTACATCCCCATGACTATTCTGTAACAACCAATTTGTACTTCTTAATCCCTTCAGCTTTTTCACCCATCCTCCTAACCACCCCTCCCATCTAGTAACCATCAAAATGTTCTCTGTATCTATGAGTCTGTTTCTCTTCTACTTGTTAGCTTTCTTGTGTGTGTTTTTTTAGATTCAATTTTCAGTGGATATGTATTTATTGCCATTTTATTTATATTTTTAAATTTTTTTTTCCTTCTTTTTAAGAATACCCATTAACATTTCATATAATACTGGTTTGGTGGTGATGAATTCCTTTAGTTTTTTCTCATCTGGAGGGCTTTTTTATCTGTCATTTGATTCTAAATGATAGCTTTGCTGGGTAGAGAAATCTTAGTTGTAGGTCCTTCCTTTTCATCACTCTGAATATTTCTTGCCTTCTGGCCTGCAAAGTTTCTGTTGAGAAATCAGCTGACAGTCTTATGGGAGCTCCCTTGTAGGTAACCAACTGCATTTCTCTTGCTGCTTTTAAGATTCTCTCTTTGTCTTTAACCTTTTGCATTTTAATTATGATATGTCTTGGTGTGGGCCAGTTTAGGTTCATCTTGTTTGGCACTCTGCAATTCCTGGACTTTTATGTCCATTTCTTTCACAAAGTTAGGGAAGTTTTCTGTTATTATTTTTTCAAATAGGTTTTCAATTTCTTGCTCTCTTCTCTGTCTGACATCCCTATGATACAAATACTGGTTCACTTAAAGTTGTCCCAGCTCCTTAAGCTATCCTCGTTTTCACATTAGTTTTTCTTTTTGCTGTTCTGAGTGGGTGTTTTTTACATCCTTATATTCCAAATGGCTGATTTGATTCATGGCTTCATCTACTCTACTGTTGATTCCCTGTAAATTATTCTTGATTTCATTTAGTTTATTTTTCAGTTCTGACTGGTTGTTTTTTATGCTGCTGAGGTTCTCACTAAGTTCATTAAGCATCCTTATAACCAGTGTTTTGAACTCTGCATCTAGTAGATTGCTTGTCTCCATTTTGTTTAGTTCTTTTTCTGGAGTTTTGTTCTGTCCTTTCATTTGGAATGTTTGTCTCCTTATTTTGGCAGCCTCCCTGTGTTTGTTTCTGTGTATTAGGTAGAGCTCCTACATCTCCTGGCTTGGTAGAGTGGCCTAATGTAGTAGGTGTCCTGTAGGGTCCAGTGGCACAGCCTCCCTGATCACCCAAGCTGGGCCCTCAAGGTGCAACTCCCATGTGGGCTGTGTACTCCCTCCTCTTATACTTGAGCCTTGATTGCTGTTGACACATCAATGGGGGGGATTTACCCCCAGGTCAGTCAGCTGCAAGGACTGGCTGTGACCACCCACCACTGACTTCCAAACACTGTGGATAATCAGCTGTGTAGGGGCCTACCCCACACAGCAGGACTTACTTCAATGGGACTATGGTGCCCGCTGAATCTGCCCCTTGAGTGTGTCACTTGTGAAGGTGGTTGGGTGATGCTTTGATGTGGTCTGAAGCTGTCCACTAAGTGCACTGGCTCTGCGGCCTCCCCAGAGGTGCAGGCCAAGGTCAGCCACTGCCTTTGTTCTGCCTGGGGCCACCCAGCATGAGCTACAAAGCAATCTGCAGATGGCTGCTACTTGCGCTAGGCTTGGAGGTGACCAGTTGAGACCAAGCTGTGAGCCAAGGCCAGCTGCTGCGAGTATCACCCTGAGGCCACTTAGCAAGAGGTATGGGGCATGCTGAGGCCAGATGCTGCTTGTTTGAGAGATTTTAGGAAAGTCTGAAGCATGAGCCAAAACAGGCTGTTTGTATGGAAAAGCCACTGGAATCAGCTTAGGTGGGCCTGAAAGTTGGGTTCCAGGGGCCTCAGAATCACCAGGGTGGGGCACACAGTGTGAGCCATGTTGATGGAGACTCAGATATGGCTATCACCTGCCAGCTCTGTAACAGGGAGGGTTCATCCAAGGAACAGTGGACTCTGCCAGCACTTCCGTTTGGGAGAAAGCTGTCCACCCAGCTCTTGCCTATATGCTGGACAATTCAGGTCCTTCCCATATGTCTCTGGTGCCTTTTGACCTGATACCCCAGTACTGGTGCTCAGAGCAAGTGAATCTGAGTTAGTCTGTGCACAGTCCCTTTAAGAGGAACTGCCTGGGACTGCAGCAGCCTCTGTCTCCCTCAGCCTCAATCCCTGCTGGTTTTTACAGCAAGAAATTATGGGGACTTCTCTTCCTGGCCCTGGAACCCTGGGCTGGGGGCCAGGTGTGGGGGCTGGGACCCTTCGCTCCACAAGGGGGACCTCCACAGCCGAAATATTCCTTTCAATTTTTATCTGCCATGTGTTGGTATCGGACCAGCCCATTCCACATCTCCACCCCTTCTATCAGTCTGGATTTGGCTACTTCTTTAATTTCCTCATTGTAGGACTTTCTTTCAGCCAGGTTTCAGTTGGTTCCGAATGATGGTTATTCTGTAGTTTAGTTGTAATTTTGATGTGGTTGTGGGAGGCGAGTACTGCTTTTACTTATGCCACTATCTTGCCCAGAAGTGAGAACTTCCAAAACTATATCTGTCTTATTGAAGGTCTTTTCCAAGAAGCATCCTTCTGCTACATGTCTAAGAAACTGCAGCATGGCCTTCCATCTCTGAGCCACTCAGGTTTTTTCTGAATGTGTTATAGTTAATATAAACCCCTGTATGGTAACACTGAAAAAGTTATAAGAGAATTAATAATCAAAATAATGAACTGTGAGTTCAATAGCCTAATTGCATAGTTTCCAGACTTACCTTTTCTAAATACCTTTATACATATTCTTAGTTAACCTTACTATGTGTTCTCTCTTTGAAGTCAAACATGATACATCACTGATGGAGTCTTTTAGCACCTTTAAATGTATTCATATTCCCGTTTGTTCTGTGTAACAGTTATAACAATAATGTTTATATTATCTGGGTATTCTTGAATTTGTCATCTTTAAAGGATTCAAGATAGAATCCATTACTGTTTGATGTCTCTATATATTCTTTGAAGAAGTCTTGGGATGTCTTTGAACTTCTTATTTTAAGATAATGAAATTACGAGTCAGCTTTAAATTTCACCTAAATTCCTTGTTTCTATTTCATAAACATTAGAGAGATTTTTGTTGTTATTGAAGTAGTGAATGTCTTTTTTCCTTCATGGTTTTAAATGTCTACTAGAAGTTCGTATAATGTTTTTCTATGACTTCGTTAGCTTTAACTAAGTCTGCCCTATAATATATTTTCAGATTTTTTTAAATTTAAGATATTTTGCCACATTTTAAAATTAAAGAAAGATTCTCTTCTTTGTAGTTTATTGTTATGCATTTAAACATGCTACAAATCAAATTTAAGGTATTTATGTGAACTCCACGTTTGTAGATTTTAAAAAATAGCCATTATCCTAAAACAAACGAAAATTTATTCATATCCAAGCAAAAGCGGTCACGAATATTTTTATTTTATAATTAGTAAAGTCACCTAAATCACATTCAAGTAGAATAGTTTATAGCTATTATTTTTCTGCCTTTTAATTTTTATTTTTCTACCTTTAAATTTCTATTTGTTCCTTTCCTAACCATAAATGCTCTTTTGGAGGATTAATCAGTCGACCCGTATTTATTGGAAATATTTTATATGGAAGGCACTGAGCAAGCTGATGTGAAATTCCCAGAGTATTTTGAGATGAAGTTTCTGCTCTTTCTATTTAGAGAAGTAAGAGATAATTACATCAAAACATAACTAGTGATTCTAGGTGATAAATGAGACATGTTAGATCCTTTCAAAAAGTTTGTTTTACATATGTTATGGATTAGTATTTTATTCTTCCCTTCTTGCCCTATTTAATACATGAGTAAAACTGCGATGAGAAGGTTAAAATGAGCTTTCAGGCTTTTCTTATTAAAAATATTTATTGAATTCCTGTTCCTTTGTGCCAAACACTTGGCTAAAGGCTTTAATATTATCTCATTTAATCCTTGTTATAACTTCTGAAAGGAGGCATTTTCATTCCCATTTTCAGATGAGGAAAGTGAGAGAGAGTGGAAGTAACTTGCTCATGTTTACCCTAATTATTAATGGAACGAGGATTTGAATATAGGTCTCTTAGTTCAGTGGGTTTTTTCCTGCTTAGTTATCATGAGTCATGGTTCTGTTTGATGATGATAGAAAAAATTATGTGAATGAAGAATGATACTAAAGGATTACAATTACAAAAACCAAAAGGGGGGAGGGACCTTTATTTACTACTATGAGATATTAAATATTCTACATAGACTTTTAATAGGTTGTTTATGTGAATATATAATGTATCATCCCATGGATCTATTAATTATAATTATAGAAAATGTTAAGAGAGCCTTTTTTAATCCCAAATATGAAAGTCTTAAATACAGTGATAAGTAGGGATCTATTATTCTTATGTTTTAGTTCTCAGTGTTTAATGAATAATGAAATGTTATATCCTGTTGCTACTAATATTAAAATTAATCACTAATAACAATAGTGAATACACAGATAGGAGTAACGATTTCTTAAGCTTAATATCTAAAATGTTAAAAAACTTAATTGTTAAAATTTAATTGGATATCTGTCATGCCTAATTAGAGATACTGGGTTTTTGTTTCAAATTCCTTTCTAGTCTAACTTTTGTGACATTACACTATACCTCTTTTATCAGTATTTTTATTAGTTAGGTATTGAACTTCAGGTTCAAATCTTACTGTTTTGCTTTTTCAAGATATTCAAGTAACTCACCTTTTTGGAAACTGAAGTATATTTGGGGCAGAGCAGCACAAAATATGTAGGTGAATGAGATGTTCTCTTTGCTCATAGGAGCTCAAACTGCGATGCTATGCTTCTGGTAAATTCAAGCTCTGACTTCTCACAGGCACTGTGATTCTTCTTGTGTGACTCAGCCTGCTGAGTAACTGCTTCTTTAGTGCCTCTGCCCTGCTCCAAGTAGACAGTATCTTCACAGTTTCTATAACATACTTTGCCAGTGAAGCTAATGGAACAATGATGTTCATATGTAAGATCTACACAGCCAATTAAATATTAATTGCAGTTGTCTACAGCCAGGTGTTTTCACTGTCTCCTTTAGAAGAAAATGGAAAAGTCATTTTTATTGTCTTTGTTTCAGCGTTCTTACTTACGTACTCTTCTCATGTATGGATTCCATTTCCTGGTGTGGTTCCTTTGTGTCAAAGGAATCAGGGACACACAGTGTGGGTTCAAATTATTAACTCGAGAAGCAGCTTCGCGGACGTTTTCATCTCTACATATTGAACGATGGTAGGTTCCTAACTGGAATGTATCTGGTATTTCTTATTATACAGCAGTTATTCCAGGTATTAAGAAGCAAGCCTCTAATCTCATAATGAACATCAAGGTTTAAACAAAATTGACAAGCATGTAATCTGTACCTTTATACTTTTACTGAGTTGGATCTTATTTTGAAAATCTCAAACCAAACATAGGCTGTAAAGTTATTAATTCACTTTAATTATAGACAGTATAAATTAAGAGGCCTGAAAATATCCTGTGTCCTTAAGCTTTCTTTTTTTCTTTTTTCCTTTCTTTTATAGGAGTTAAGTTCTCTTTCCTTCCTAAGACCAATCCTCTGCATCCCCTTCCACCTTCTAAGAACCTAATCCTGTTTGCTTTTCTCTCATACATTTAGCCTTTTCCCCTCAACCACATCTTTCCCATCAGTTTTTAAAACAAGTTTAAATTTCTCTTGCCATTAAAAAAAACTCTCTCTGTTGACACCCTCCCCCCAAACCCCTCTTGCTCTAGCCCCGTATCCTTTCATAGCTGACATTTTCTTGAAAGAGTGGTCTGTATTCACTCTCACCATTTTCCCATTTCACACTCACTCTTCACCCCACCTTAATATGGATTTTCTCTCATCCTTACATCTAAACTATGGTTACCTTCATGTTATTAAATCCGGTGGTCATATTTTATAGGAACATTTATTGTCTTAACCCATTAGCAGTGCTCGATACTTCTTTTTCTTTTTTTAATCCTCACCTGAGAATATTTTTTCCATTGCTTTTCAGAGTGAATGGAAAGGGGAGAGAGAGAAAGAGAGGGAGACATCGATGTGAGAGAGACACATCGATTGCTTGCCTCCCACAAGCGCCCCTGGGGTGGGGGATCGAGCCTGCCACTGAGGTTACATGCCCTTGGCCAGAATCCAGCCTGGGACCCTTTAGTCCGTGGGCTGACGCTGTAATCACTGAGCGAAACTGGCTAGGGCAGCACTCGATACTTCTGAGATCTCTGTCTTGAAATATGCTGTTCCCTCAGCATACCTTTATCCTGACCTCTCAGCTCTCAACCTTCTTAATGAATAACACTGTCACACAGAAGCTTGAAACCTTGGAGTCAGCCCTGACACTTCCCACAGCCCTTCCACATATCAAATGCATGACCAAGGCTTGTGGATTTTAGCTTTTATGTCTCTCCATTTCTCTTCATGTTCACCACTATTCAGGACTGATAAGCAGTGTCAGAAAATTGATTCCTCAGTGTGGCCCACCTAAGTCTCCACATGCGGAGACTTCTCAACGCTCCCCTTCTCCACTTCTTATCCTTCAGATCATTTGGCCCTTAGTTTCCAAACTTGATCAGATGCCCTTAGTTATATGCTGTTGCAGTACCGCAAGCCTTTCTTTGTAGCACATGTCACCTATGTAGTTTTTTCTTGTGTAATTTTTTTTCTCTATTAAAACATAAGCTGTTCAAGAGCTAGACTCTCATCTGATTTTGCTTACTAGTATATTCTACTATCTAATGGAGTGCTTGGCACATCATAGATACTCAATAAATATTGTTGAAAAAATTAATAATTAGTTTTAGCGTTGGGTTCTGTGTAAATTCTGTTCATGGAAGAAATCTGCATAATTATTCCAGTAGATGTTCCTTTTTGTAGTCTCTCAACTTTTGTGCATCTATATTGCAAAGATCTGTTATTTCCCTAGAAATAGATACCATATTCCCCCCTAAAAAACTTTAGAAAAACTATAGTTTCAGAATTAAAGTTATCATTCGAACATGTTTTGTAATATTTTTTAACTAGATTTAAAATTTTTAAGTAATCTATATGTGGTCTTCAAATTAAGATACATGCTTTTTTATGTTGAAGAATAAAATATACTGTTAGTTAATGAACTCTAAAATCAGAGAATCGAATTTAAGAAGCCACTCTGGAAGTAAAGCCCTCCCTCCCCATTAGATATTTTTTAGTCAGCTGTTACATCCAGAACTAGGGTCAAAGAACTAGGTTCCTTATAGTTTAAAGGAAGGATTTACAAATGGAAAACATTAGGATTCGGATTGATAACATAAAAGTCATGAAAGCTCCTCATCAGAACTGTTCTAGAGCAGCTTCAGCCAGTAGAAATATAATATGAGGTACAAATGCAAGCCATATATATAATTTTAAATTTTCTAGTAAGCCACATTGAGAAAGTAAAAAGAGCCCTGGCCGGTATGGCTGTTAGTTGAATGTAGTCCCATACACCAAAAGGTCACCTGTTATTTCCCAGTCAGGGCACATACCCAGGTTGTTGGTTTGATCTCCACATGGGATCAGCTGTTTGATGGGAGGCAACTGTTTGGTGTTTCTTTCTCACATCAATGTTTTTCTTTCCTTCCCTCTTTCTCTCTCCCCCCTTCCCCTTCCCTTCCTCTCTCTCTACAAAAATCAATTAAAAAAGAAAGTAAAGAAAGATGAAATTTATTTTAATAATATACTTAACACAATATAAAAATATTGTCATTTCAGTATGTACTCAGTGTGAAAAAGTATGGAGATGTTTAACATTCTTTTCTTTGTACTATGTCTTCAAATTACAGTACATCTCACTTCAGACTGGCTACATTTCAAGTGCTCAGTAGCCACAGTAGCTAGTGGCTACTATATTGGAAAACATTGTTCTAGGATATTTGGGGGAGTTTTTAGTTAAAAAAAAAATTTAAAAACTTTTTCTTCTTTAAATATTGTGTTCATGCACATGCCTTTTAAATTATTTATTTGGACTTGGTCGACAGTGCTTACCTGACTTAAATTTTAGCCTCTCACATTTCTCTTTAAGGTCCCATTATGTTTATTTTGTACCTGTAAAGGAGAACTACCAAATAAGCATATATCAACTTGATTAGCAATATACTCTTATATTCTTCACCACAGTTTCAACAGTAGTTGTCACTTGAACATTTCTTTTTTTTAATATATCTTTATTGATTTCAGAGAGAAGAAGGGAGAGAGAGACAGAGAGACAGAGAGAGACAGAGAGAGAAACGTCAATGATGAGAGAGTCGTCATTGATCAGCTGCCTCCTGCATGCCCCCAACTGGGGATTGAGCCCACAACCTGGGCATATGCCCTGACCAGGAATCGAACCATGATCTCCTGGATCCTAGGTAGATGCTCAACCGCTGAGCCACACCTCGCCAGGCTAAACATTTCTTTAAATCAAAATCATGTGCACTTTAACTCAAGAAAGACTAAAGAAAATATTTTTTTATGCAGTATTAAGTTATAGATATCAAGTTGTGCATCTGCTTATTTCCATATAAGTGTCTAAAGATTCATTGAAATTTTTCTCATAACTTTCAGAAAAACCCAAGTCAAGGAGAATTTCTAGGTATTAGAAAACATCTGCCCAGCCGGGCGTGGCTCAGCGGTTGAGCGTCGACCTAGGATCCAGGAGATCACAGTTTGATTCCTGGTCAGGGCACATGCTCAGGTTGCCGGCTCGATCCCCAGCAGGGGGCCTGCAGGAGGCAGCCAATCAATGACTCTCATCATTGGTGTTTCTGTCTCTCTCTCTCCCTCTCCTTTCCTCTTTCTGGATCAATAAAGATATATTTAAAAAAAAAAAAAAAGAAAGAAAGAAAACATCAAGGATTACAGCTGAAGTTAAAAGACTAAACATCTCTTTTATTCACACTTACAGATTTGAGTATAGGTAATGTTAAGTATAAATATACATGTATATAATCTTCATCCTCACAACTTTACTTCACCTAAATTCTTTCTATTTAATGTCAAGGTATAATTTGATCCAATTTATGAATAACTTTAAAAATGAATTCTTTGAAATGTACTTTTCTTCAGATGAATACTTTCTATTTTTAATCAGTGTTTTACATGTTTATAACTTAAAGTCAGTTCCATAAGGCTTATATAAAAAAAAAAGTTGTCCTTTGTCCCAATTCTTACTCTCTTAACAATGGCCACTTTAAACTCTACTGTTTTTTGTGGTATTTGCTTTCATATTCAAAATAATGGGTCTGCACAGCTATGTGTCCATTTTTCAGTTTTTGATACTACTTTTCAAAATAGAAAATCAGTGGATACACATTTAGTTCTCTTAAACTTCTGCACACCATCCACACTTATTTTCCTAATACAGTTTTAAAATAATTTTTGGTTAAATCAGTATTTATTGTTACAGCTGTGCAAAGGTAACTTACATTTGTACCACAGGGTGCAATATGAATATTACCTTTCTTGTAGTACTTTTTGTTTTTCTAAAGATAATAATTGCCACCCCAGCCTGGTAACTCGGTTGGAGTGTCATCCTGTGCACCAAAAAGGTTGCAGATTCAATTCCTGGTCAGGGCACATACCTAGGTTGTGGGTTCAGTCCCTGGCTGGGACATATATGGGAGGCAACTGATCAATGTTTCTCTCTCACATCCCTCTCTCTCTCTCTCTCTCTCTCTCTCCCTCCCTCTCTCCCTCTAAAATCAATAAGCATATCCTTGAGTGAGGATTAAAAAATTATTATTAAAAAAGATAATAGCTATCTGTAGTTTTTTATATTATATTAACTATAGTACATTATATTATTTTATATTATTATAATATATAATATAGTCCATCAGGAGCATAAATTCTCCTCAGTACATCCTCACACATCAGATTCTGCATCAGTTTCATCTTTTTCTTGGAGACATCTTGTTGGCTGTTCCCTTTCTAGTTCTCAGGCCTCCTGCACAACTCCTGTCCTCTGTCTCCTGTTCCTTGGTTTACACCACTGTTGGAGTAGAGCACATCCTCTCCTCAATTCCCTAAGTTATGAGAAGGGAACTTTGAGGTGTTGCTTAGGAAAAAGTATCTTTTTTCTCACACTTGTTTAATAGTTAGCTGGAGAAAAATATTTAAGGTTGGAAATCAGTGTTTTTATGGAGTTCAGTTTTGTAGATAATCTGACTCTTGATACAGTACTGTAGAGTGTTGTCTTCACACACCCCCACCCTTGTCCCTCACCTTTCGAAGCTTTTTCTCCACACTGTTTTGAAATACCATGATTCAGGAACTTAACATGGCTAATTTTTTTAAAGATTTTTTTATTGATTTTTAGAGAGAGGAAGGGAAAGGGAGAAAGAGAGAAACATTGATGTGAGAGGGCAATGCCGTTAGGCTGCCTCCTGCAGGGGATCGAGCCTGAAACCTAGGTGTGTGCCCTGACCAGGAGTCAACCTAGCAGTCTTTCAGCGCTTGGGATGATGCCAACCAACTAAGCCACACTGGCTATTTTTCATGTGTTTTGTTGAGTACGCAGTAGACCATCTAAATCTGGAAACTCCATGTCCTTTAGTTCTGAGAAATGTCCTTTGTTTCTTTAACAATCTCCTCTCTTTTCTCTGTTCTCTCTTATAAAACAGAACCTCCTTACTGATTCTATAAGTTTATCTTTTCTCTTTTTTTCTATTTTTCTTTGAGATTTCAATTTTACCATTCAACTCTCCTTTTGAATTTTTATTTCTGCTCTCAAAATTTTAATTTCCTGTAACTATTTTGTTTTCCAATGTTCATTTTTTAAAAAATCTGTTGCTTCGTGACTACAGTATTTTCCACTACTTAATGCATCACTTATAACTTTGACATTTTTTACTTTCCCTGCATTGTTTCTGTCCTCCAATTTTCTTTGTTTGTTTTTATCATTAAAGTCTATCCTCAGATGTCTTTAGCATGATATTAGAAAAGGCTTATCAGAAGCTGTGCGAGTGACCAAAGATTAGTAGATTTCACTGCAGATTAAATGGTGAGGCCATATTTTGTGTGAAACTCCCACCTGTCATTATCTTTTGGGCTAGTCATTTTCACTAATGTGGGATCCTTCCATCTCCTGTGTAGGATAAATGAACTATTTGGAGGAAAGGAAAATCCATATGATTTTCAGGGAGTCCTCCTATTTACACCCCTACTTGTTGACATCATTTGAGGCCTCTGATGCCTGAAACTGGGAGGCTCTTGCACCCATTAGCCTGCTTCTAGGCTTCTCCCATTGCCATTGTCTTCTTTCCCTAGCTACCACTTGTCCAGCTCTCCATCTTTCCAAAAAAATATTACTGTCGTCTCCTCCTCTCTTAGTGTTTTTATCCCATCATTGTTGTTTTAATTTTAGTGGGTCTTCAGGCAAGATCCTCCTTGCTGTGTTTAAAGGAGTCTTAACATACTCTTTGTTCTCTGGGAATGTATCTGTGAAGTAACAGGTACACCAGGAAGTGAGTAGGAAAAGAAAACATGGTATCTCCTCACATTTGCAAAAACCATGAATGTATCTTAGTTGGAGAATAGCCCTTATACTGATTCTCTGTATTTTAATTATATTTGCCTTGGTAACAGATTTGTCTTTGACTTATAACATGGTGATGTGAAGTATAATTTTTAAAAAATAAACATCTTCCTGTTTTCTAAAATGTTTAAGAAAAGGATATAATAAAAATAATTTAGAAGATGAATTGTTCTTTCAGTTTTTTTTAATATAATTTCAATTAATCAGTGCTTCCCCCCCACTTCTTTTCATTATTCTTATGTTGTTTTGTGTCTTTGATAACTATAACTGATATCCTTATGCTTAATGATCTTGTTCAGATAATTGAATACCATTAGAACTAACTCAGACCACTAGGTAATTTTTTGTTTTTGTGATAGAGACAGTTAAGGATTAAGCACCAGGCTTAATATTCAGATTATTTCCTTCTTTCATGAGTGTCACAATTCTAGTTAACAGAAGTTTTACACAGTCCTTTTAAAAACACAACACTTTTATAGATTATTTTATCCTCTTAAGTGAATATTTCACTAAAAAAAAGATCCAAATACTTGGAATTTAAACTAGTTGTATATTGGATGGTGATGGTAATATTGCCAAGAAAACAAAACTCCAAATTTGGGTTGTGTGACATCAGGGAAATCAAATAGTGGGTTTCAGGCATTTCTTGTCTTTGCTAATATTTTATAACCAAGCACTGGAAGATTGAAGTGTGTCCTATGCAGTCTAGAAAGTGGGGTCTTAATGACTCAGGGATGAAAGTAAAATGGTAAAGGACTTCCATGCTTGCCCGGCTGGTTGTGGCTCAGCAGCTGAGCGTTGACCTAGGATCCAGGCGATCGGGGTTAAATTCCCGATGGGGGCACATACCCGGGTTGTGGGCTAGGCAGCCGATCAATGACTCTCTCATCATTGATTCATTGATGTTTCTGTCTCTCTCTTTCCCTCTCCTTTCCTCTCTCTGAAATCAATAAAGATATATTTAAAAAAAAA